TACAGTTGTCCCTTGATAATCCGACAGGTATGGGACCAAAGGTGTGTCAGATTACCAAAAGTGTCCGGATTACCGAAAATAATTACATATTTCGCATTGTTTTGCTAGCAGTAACTTACAATATTCTCTACTCCAACTGTTCAAACAGAACTGCTCACATAAAACACACGAAATGTATGTCATTGAGTAAGAATTGGATGGGGAGATTCACATTGTGACATGCTTCTGTGCAAGCAGACACGTAACGGGGACGGGTACCTTGACAGGAGGGGCGTCGGACTACTGAGCATGTCGGATTAAAAAACGTCGGACTATAGAGGGACAACTGTACTTTAATGGCATACCTTTGTAATGTTAAAAATTGGGAATTTATTTGTACCTTTGTTTTGTACAGTTTAATTTTTTAACAATTGAAGAGGGGCGATACGAGTCCGAAATGCATTTTGTTAAAGAGATACTTAAAAAAGAATATGAGAAGAGTGTTGTAATATATCAAAGTAGTCATGATAAGTTTGGCAAAACAGCACTAGTAGGTTGCTGAAATAATATTTTAGTACAAGTTACCAAACAAGAAGATAAATGAAGGTAAAATAATTAATTCATAATTTCTGATGATTTTATTCGTTTTCTTTTTTTAATAAATTAAAACCAATCCAAAAGAAGATAATTCTGCTCTTTAAACTGATAAAAAAAAAACTAATAAATTAAATTCAAATGAACCAGAACAATGCTTGTTCTCACATATCCTCTCTATCATAAACCAAAGACTTTATCTGAGACTATATGCAGAGATTGTTAAAGATTTACTACCATAATTTTTCCGTTGGTTTGAAAATCGTTGTCATTATCTTTATTAAACAAGTTTTCATGTTGAGCTCTTGCAAAAATAACATGTCTGTAGCATGTATGCAAGCAGGTTCCAATTAGTACAAGTCTTAATTGACAAGACTATGTCTTGTTTATAAAATCACGATGCCATTATGGGTGTTCACCTTAGAGGTATAATGGAAACATGTCAGGAGTTGCAATTTGGCACAGAGTATTAAGTGTCCAAATCATGAGCACATAAAAAAAATCAGACTTGTAGGTACTCAGAGGACCGAGAACAGGGTCAAAACAAAATACAAAAATGGTGACATCTTCCTACAAACAGGCAAGAATGCAAGATTTGTGCATGTGTATATTGTTGGAAAGTTGGAAATGCGAATGTTGTGAAATTGAATTTTGACAAACGAATCTTTGAAAAAACCCATTTACCTCTCTGGTTGCAACCTTCTGACCTTGACTGGTTGACCTGAGATATCTCATTTCAGCATTGAAATGTTTTTGAAACTAGATGGTGCTAGTCATTATAATTTTATATTAAAAGTAACTTCCAAAATATATTTTTTTTTGTTTTTACATCTATTAATATATTTANACGCTCCGTACTCTCTCCACATGGCTCCGTGTGACCTTTGGCTATTTTTCAAGCTGAAAATGCCGCTAAAAAGGAACCCAAATTTAGTCGAGAGAAGACATCATGCGAAATGCGACGGACCGGCTGATAACCATTCCAAAAGATGCGTTCCAGCAGTGTTTCCAGCAATGGCAAAAACGCTGGGAGAAGTGTATACATTACCAAGGAGATTACTTTGAAGGGGATTAGGGTTTTGTTCCTCAAAGTCAATAAATTTATTTTTGCCGACCAAAGGTCCGATACTTTTTGAACAGACCTTGTATATATAAAACTTATACAGGAGCCAGTAAGGGTCTAGCAGAGCCACAAGTGGCTTGCAAACTGAAGTTTGCTCACTGTAGGACTAGACAAATAATAATAAATGTACACATGCACAAAAAATTAATCTGAAAGAATAAAATTTAAATAAAAAGTTTAAGATAGGAAAAGTGATGGATTGATATAAAGTTTCTATCGAAATTTAAATTATTTTCCACATAACAGGTGCTTTTATGAGAGAGATGAATTCAAATTTGAATTTTGACACAGTATAAAATGAATTGAAATGCTTTTTCCTTTGATTCTACTGATTTCTTTAGTTAAGAGATTTCTGTTAAGTTTTGAAAATCATGTAATGTTTTTTACACCTTTTTTTTGTATCATCAAATAAGACAAAGCTGAATGGATGAATATCAAAATTGCTCAACTATCAAAATAAATTGATAACATAATTTAACATTTTAAATATATTACTGAAAGTTTACAACTGATTATTTTGCTTGTAATAATAAATACATATTTACTGTATTTTATTACCTTGGGTGATCTCAAACAAAAGTAGAACTTTTGAGAGTTGGCATGAGGGGTTTGGTGATCACGTGAGTCAGACTTAATGCTGTAAGCCAATTGTGCTTGTTGCACTGTCACCTCTTGGTCTTCTAAGTCTGACTTGGAGTGTCATCAAACTCTTTGTGAGTTCTACTTTTGTTTAATCAGTTAGTATAAAATCTATTAACAGGCTTTATTTATAAATAATTTATAGGTTACTCATTAAGTAACCCTTAAATAAAGGTTGTAAAGTAACATGACTGCTTCATTTATGTGAAATTATCATTTTATATAACTTAAACAGATTGTTTCTCTATTAGTTCTCAGTCTGTTACCAGTTTTTACAAATACAATTTATTTAATGTGATTTATTAATAATGGAAATTTTTATACTACAAGCAAAATTTTTAGTATATAATTTTGGAGAAGGTCACTAGTAAGCAACTGTGTGGAGAGTATCCTATTAGAACTTTTTCAGTCATTCAAAAATGTTTGTAAAGATAAAATCTTGATATAATTGAAAATCTTGGTTACAGAATTATCATTAAAAATTCCTGTCTGGACTATTTTGAAGCATTCAATTAACCTTTTTTACTATAATAGTACATCTAATGAAAGAATTTACTATATAATTGCATCTGTACAAATATCAAGACTCAAAGGAATCTCAAATGCATATATCTGGACCCAGAGACTACAGGGTGTACCAAAAGTTCCCTTATTCAATCTTTCAAATGTTTTTATCAATAAAACATGACCTGCATACAAAACGTAAATGAACACAGGTACAAACCATCAGCTATACTCATATTTTAGAGTATATGCTGGATATGTTCACTTTCCCTCTGGAGGCAGAGACCACTTGACATCATGTCTTTCTACTCATATTGTAACATTGTTAGTGATATCTGTTACTCTACCAAAATGTTGTGTGTTCCACATAACAAGAATTTCCACAGTTAGAGTTTATTTAATAATTTTCATCCAATTCTTTAGATATCCCCATAAAAAGATATCTGGCAAAGTTTGGGGAGCAAAAGTCTACAAGACCCTAGATATGATATGGTGATAAAAAAAAAACTAATCTGGGTTTCATGAAACTTTCAAACAACTTCATAAAAAGTAAGCTTACTTAGTAGTACATCATTAGGAATTTTTTCTTCAAAATCTTCAAACATTATAAGATTTTGTATCAAAGTAAGCCTTCAAAAAGCACGATTCTTTGTTTTGGATAAATGCCATACTCAATTTCCTCACTTTCTAGTCAATTATATACACGGTTACTTCACCCATATTTGTTCAAAATACTTTCAAGACTGTCAAAAATCTAAATCAGCAACAATCCTTTTGTCACTTTTTCAACTTGTCTAAAAATAACTCAAAACTTGAGCAAGGGAACTATTGGTACATCCTGTATACATATATTTATGGACTATACATTTTTTCACTTAATTCATTTTTGCTTAATGCACTACTTTAACTATGTATCTACTCACACAAACTGAAAACTATCTTTATTTTTAAATATTATAAAACCGACTATATTTATATTTCATAAATACAGTGTGAATTTATGAATATTTTTATTTTTTGAAGTTAAAATTTCAAAGAATGCAGTTGAGAAAAACTGAATTCTTCTGCAGATGAAATCTAACAACTTAAAAAGACATTAAAAAAAACACCTAAATTGACGTTTCCAATTTGAAACAAAATGTTAATGAATCACTACTTACTTTATTTTCTTCTATGCAGAGGTCTTCTTTTAAAATACAACCCGAACTAAAAATAAAATCATGAATTCAATTTTATAAAAATTTAATTTGCTAACACATAAAAAAAAAAACAATTTCTAAAGGGAATTATCAATTCGTTATTTACTTTTCAATTAATTCTTGAATTTGTTGACTCAATACTTGAGCTTGTTCGCTCGGTGGACCGGGTTTAAAAAACGACGCGCAGAGCGGAGGTAAGTCGACATTCGGTACTAATAAAAGTTTATTTTAAAAAAGCACAGTTAACACGCTAAATGAAAATTTATTTGGATGAATACAGACTTTTTCCTTCTTACTAACTTACCTATGAAACCTTTCTTAGGTTCTTCTGGAGAAGGGGTTACAAGTTCCTAAAATATCTTTATTTTTAATTTCTTTCAACTTGAATTGAAATAATGATAAATTATAAATCGCATTACAATCAAATAAATATATTACTAATATAGTATTTTTAATTATTTTCAACTTATAAGTTTAAAAATACTATGAACAAAAGATAACTTTATGCAATGAAGGAGCTTAATTAAATATATTCTATTGATTATTCATGAAGTTATCCTTGTGATGAATTTTATCCAAGAGTCGCCCTATAATATGTAAATTGCTGATTCTAACTTTATAGCATTATTTTAACATGTGTACATGATCATGCAATATATGAGAATCTAATTAATACAGATGATGTTTGACATGCAACATTTCTGAGATTTATGACTAAGCCCAATTTTTGCCATTTCAATTGGCTGAGGTATGAAATGGATGAATCAACATCAATGAGAGATGATACAAACTGTCTAGTAATAAATTATGAGATTCAAATCATATTGATAGACTAATGCAGTAATATGAGGCCAAGATTTTATTTTAATTAGTTAATTATAATAGCTGTTTATAAAAGGCTATAAACAGGTTTAAAATATTTGAGTTAATATAAAGATTCAGAAATAGATAAGAGCAAGAGATTTTTTTTAATGTCAGTTGTACTGTGAGATGGAAAGTGAAGAAACTACTATATTACAGGGTCTTCCAAAATGAATGCTATCATTTTAAATTACTGTAATTATGTTAATTACTACCCGGGAAGTATGCAATATACACCAATCAATAGAGTAACTGTCTGAGTTTCATCTCCCACCTGCATTCAGATGTCTCATCGTCTACTACCTCTATAAAGGGATGTAAGTGAAAATGGCAACTCCAAAACAGAGAGTGTTTTTGTGTATTCACAGTTTGCAAATCACTCATCATTTTGCAACAGGAGTAATCTACAGGAGCTGTAGAATTGTGGTTGCCATGGGAGGAGTGACAATGGATATGCCATAATAAACATTGGAAGTATTTGAATATCAGGAATTTGAGGTCAAATGTGTGCCATATGATGTGAGGTGCAAGCATTGAGAAATTGAAATGGACATTACAACAAAAATAATGGTAAGCCAAATAGTATACACAAAGCAATAAAATTTAAAATAGAGACTGAAGATATAACAAGACAAAACATTAAGTACCTAGACATTACAATAACAAGATTAAAACAACATCTCGAATATAGAACATTCAAGAAACCGAGTTCTAACCAAGTAACAATAAGATATCAATAAAAAATTCCATCATACGTTAAGTATAATATATATAAAATGGAATATGACAAAATCATAAACTGGACAAGCCAAGAAGCACACATAAACAAAGACCTTATGGAATTAAGAAAGAAATTTCTTCTAGCAGGATTTCCGCAGAGATTGCTAAAACAATGGGAAACCAGACTGAATAACCCAGGAAACCCATGTAAAAATAAAAATAAACAAGCAACTAAAACAAAATATATTAAGTTTCCATATATTAAAGGTCTATATGAACAAATCAGCACAGAAATAGAAAGAAACTACAAATTAGCACCATTATATCAAAAAATGGAGAACAGACTGTTAATCTCGAACCTGAAGAAAAATCAGCAAATACCGATTGAAAGCCCAAGGTGTAGTATATAAAATTCCGTGTATCTGTGCAAACAAAAAATATTACTTAGGAGAAACAAAAAGAAAGGTAAAAACTAGATTGAAAGAACACAGCAGACCTAAAATACAATAGAATAAATTCTGCATTTTACGAACGTACTCTAAACAGCTGTAATATAGACAAAGATAATGTAAAAATACTGCATAAAGAAAAATTAACATACAACAGGAAGTTTAAAGAAACCATAGAAATTATAAAAAGTAAAGACAATATAAATAAAAACTTAAGTCTTAAAATAAACAAAAACTGGCTCAATATATTATAAATAAAATTTTTTTTTTTCTGTGAAAAGCAATCTTTTCAAAAAATAATTTTTACAAGACGGATTTTGGTAAAAATCAGACCACAAGGTGGCAAATGTCATACATGGCAACACTAAAGATACCAGCGCAAATGCCAAAAAAGGGGTGGAAAGGAAAAAGGGGATAGAAATAGCTCAATTTTTTACAGTTGTATTGTATCAAAGTCTATCTAAAAGGGAAGATTTTGGAAGACTTCCCCCTTTTTAAATTGTAATGTATACTGGTTTATCCACAAAAGGATTAAAGCAGATTTTACAAGATTTTAAATTATACAAAGTGGTATAGACATACCTTTTGGTTACACCCAAAAGGTACGTCTATATATCGTTTGTGTACTCATTTTTTTTTTTATGTAAGTTCTTTACTGTAATAGATAAAAAATATATATTGTATGATAGTTGACTGAAGAGGGGCAAAGCTCGAAACAAGTACAAAACAATGTACTGTATCGACTCAACTAAATAAAGATATTTGATAGAAAAACTTGCCACATGTTTTTGGAATACAACACAATATTAGTGTTTACTAAGCCATAATTGTAGAACAGGACACGGTTTCAAAAAACAAATAAAAAATAATGGTATTAATGTATTTAATGTAATGTAACAGAAATGTTTTAATATACTTATCTGAGAATCAACATTCACAGATAATAATTAACATAATTACAATAATTTAAAATGATAACATTCTTTTTGAAAGACAATGTGTTATTTATAAGAATACTGTATGATCAGTACAAGCATACACATAATCCCTTCCCTTAAATTAATTACTAAATGTGAATTAGCTGAAATGGATTCTTTGGCAGATATCTCAAATAATAATCAAATCAGACTAAAAAAACAGGCTTTACTCTAAAAATTCAGAGCATTTTTCTTAATTAAGTAAAGAATATTATTTAGCTTTGAGTTGTTATATATATATATATATATCAGAGCATTTTTCTTAATTAAGTAAAGAATATTATTTAGCTTTGAGTTGTTATATATATATATATATATA